TAAAACCGACTGATAATAGTTTTCTACTTCTCACAGAATCATTTTTAGACAAAAAATAAAGTGGGCCGATTATCGCCTTATGCGGACCCCTCCTTTATATCTCTGCCAGTTTTTAATTTATCTCGAAACTTTTCTTTAGATTTGTCGTGAATTAGCGTATACTGCTAACAATTCGGATGAAATTGTGCAATTGATCGATCGATTCATGCATGATACTTATGTTATCCCACCATCTGAATGGGACCCACATATTCGAATAGAACCACCAGATCAATACCTAAGCAAAGTAAACATCTATCTGCTCTTCTCTTGTAATTCGAAATTGTGGTCTGTCCACTACAGGAACAACGCGAAGCTCATACACCTGAAGAAAAGGCGGATGATGCGAAAGAAATTGATTTGACACCACATATTGATCCGAACTTAAAAGCGTCAAGAAGGTACTTTTAACCGTTCGTATACAGAAAATTCTTCTGTTCGATGACATTCTTACTATTAAAGGGCAACACTAGAAATACGAATTTTATTGAAATTGCGGCTGAAATATCCTTAACTTTGTTTAGCATAATTAAGAGTGGCTGAAATAAACTCTTATTATGTTAAACAAAGTTATGGGTATTTCAGCCGCAATTGCACAAAAATTCATAATTCTTCTGTTATTTCAGACCATTCCACGGTTTGTTAGTTGATCTTCGTCATAAATTGCCACATTATGTATCAGATTTTACGGACTGTGCCAATTTACAATGTTTGGCAGCTACACTCTACTTATATCTTGTTTGCCTATGTTATGTAGTGGCCTTTGGCGGTATGCTTGGAAAAGCAACTCACAATTATATGGTACGAGTTATTGTTATATAATTTTGAGCGAAAACGTTCTGTTATCTTCTCTTTTAGGCTATTATGGAATCAATTATGGCTGGATGTATTTGTGGTGTATTATTTGCGTTGTTTTCTGGTCAACCATTAAATATCCTATCGGCTACGGGACCAATGTTAATTCTAGAAAAAATATTGAATTCGCTATGCGAGTAGGTGTCTATACTACCTTGAGTCTATCATTGCGAGTAGCGGTGAGACAGTTTCAGTTCCTATAGTTGAGAACTGCATGAAAGAGCTGGTCCTTAGTTCAGTTCCTGTGGAACGGGAACTGGTAACCAGTTCTTTTCAAAAGAACGAGAACTGCGACTATTACTTTCAAATGCGCTTTTTCTCGCCGTGTGTAACAGAGTTTGTTTAAGTTCAATCATGTAACATAAAGATTAACTTTTTGAACTATCGTTGGACACAAGTAGTTCTTTTGTAAAGAACGGGAACTGGTTTTCGGTTCTTTTTAAGAATTCAAAATAAAATAAAACCGATGTAGCTAGTTATATTGACTTGGTTTAGTCAACTAAACACACCATCTACCTCTGGCGCACTACACAAAGTCAATGTAAGTAGGTTCATCGATTTTATTTCAATTTTAATTTTTTGAAAAGAATTGATGCCAGTTCGCGTTCAAAAGAACTGAACTGGAACTGTCCCACCCCTAATTGCGAGTACGGCGGACTAACAAGTCAGACTTGTCACTGTCGAGTAGCCTCATACGTTCCTTGCAGCTGATAATTTTTGACAGTTGTCACCCGTCTGTTTACTGATCATT